GAAGCCGAAGCGTTCCGCGGCGCGAAACCCCACAGCGCGTCCGTGCGCCTCCGCCCGACGGGTGTGGTTCGGCGCCTGCGGAGCCCGTCTGGCCCACGGCCAAAGGGTCACCGGGTTCGGTGAAGCGAGGGGTGCTTCGGTGAAGCGGGAAGTGGCGGAGTGGTGGTGCGTTTGCCCATGGTGTGGGGTGGATTTCGGAAACCAAGTGCCACGAATTTCTGCGCCAGGAACAGTTTGGGTTTCTAGATTTGGGCGATGCCATCGATCGCCGCCCACAACAGTGTTTCAAGATGATTTCATAGTTCATACTTTTGGTCATTGACACAGAACATGGACCCTCTCAAGAGCCTGCTCCTCCAAAACGGACTTACCACCTCAAAGACTAACATGGATTCTGCAAACCACTGCAGTGGTAGAGGAAAAAACATGTTTCTTATCTTCCAAGTTCATTTGACTGTCCTCACCCTCGCTGTCGGCGCTGTCAGAAGGTTCGCGCCTCAAAGGTTCCGTTCTCCTCCAATCTGGGCACCTGGAGCATCCGAGCCGCGAGAGCCGCAGCGAGCAAAGCGGCGAGCAGAGGTGATGCTCTGTGGCTGTCTCAAAGTCCAAGCTCGGGTGACACAACATACCCAAGCACGACCCGTCTGGGACTGCCAGGACGGACTGCCGCCTCATTCGGGTGGTTGACTGGGGGTTCTGGCTTGACAAGGCAGTCCGTCCTGGCAGTCCCAAACAGGTCGTGTCTGGGTCAGACCGGAGCACCAACTTGCTGTCCGCGAGTCAGGAGTGTGACCAACTTGGGGCGTTTCACCGGGAACCGGCGAGCCAATCCTGTCAGTTGTTGAGCAATGGCTCGAAGTCCACAATGCTCGGGTGTCTCAGAGAAAACACACAGAACATATCAGAACATCGAAGGAATCACGTAAAAACACCGTCAACATCTTGTCTCTGTCCTCAGGTCAGGTGGGTTGTCCCATGTTTTCCCTCGATTTCCCGACCAACCTCGGCCCTGACGGCGACGCCAAGGGTGGAGTCCTCCAGAACGTTGCGTGGCACCTGCGGCAGCTCGCGTCCCATCCGGTGGTCCCTCCGGGCATCACCGGAGGCATCATCTCAACATGCGAGGGAACTCTTCAGTGAGCCGAGCCGTGGTTTGGCTTCAATACACCAAAAAGTCGACGGGTGAAGTCCGGAGTCCTTTTCCAGGATGCGGGGGCTTTTTGGCCGCGGCAAACCATGGGAAGCACGATGACTTCGCCCGCTTCGCCACCCATGTTCAGCAGAATTTGGGACATGAAGTGCAAGCTCCAAGTACCTCCTCAGAAGATATTAATTTGGACGCTCTAAACCAACCCCAGTTCCACCGAACCTCACAAGGTACGACCGGAGCCTTATATAGGGATAGGAATCTAATCTTGACCGGGCAGACCGTGGGTTTCGAACCTGTAATCAATTTCCAGGACCTTCAGTACGTGACCTCGAATTGGAGTCTGTTTACGTGACCATCTTTGTTCGGGACGACGAGTTGTGACCAACCCGCCACCGGGATCTCAAGGACGGTCGAAGGTTCTGAAGGTCCTGGTTATGTTTAACCGACGTTCAATCCTCCTGTTCAGATCGTTCAGAATCCAATCGCGCGCACGAGAGGTCTCGTCATCTGGTTCTTGCGGAAAAAACAACAACGTCATCGACGAGGTCAGGGTTTGCTACGGTTTGTTCATGTTCCATGGTGGATTCCTTTGGGGAATCTCGATCCAGTTCCTATTTCATCCTTTTTCGTCTGTGCTTCCGGAAAAAGAAGTCTGAAGTTGCATGGAGGTCTTCTCTTCGACCAGGCCCGGGTCGCTCCAAAAGGGAGACCGATCCGAGGCTCCCGACCCAACCTCCTTGACCAGGCAGGGGGAAGGTCGGACGTTCTTTGGGAGCTTTGAGGAGTAGTGTACGGTGTTCCCTTTGGTCATCAGCCACACCACCATGGGCTCTGTTTAGGGGGGAGGGGCGAAGCAAACAGGTCCGAAGCAACGACACTTAGACCGAACGACCGAAGCGGCGACCCGAAGCGGACCCCGAGGAGCCCGGCCTCATGCCAAAGCGGATTCCTCGGAGCCCCAAATGGTTGGCCCGGGAGGCGAGGAGGGAACTCTTCCGGTCCAAGTCTTCCAATGAGAGCTACTTTCAGAGGTGAAGGCCACCGGCTCGAAAATACATCTATCAGCGACCTGGTGGTGCTGGAGAAAGGAGTTGTTTAAAGAAGATCGAGACTGCAAACATGACCCCTTGAGTTCCGGAAAGTGAGAATACATGAATACCCTTGATCCACCCAGTGTAGGTCCTGTTTCCGGCACACCATTCGGGTATAACTCCCCAAAAGCATAGAATTTAGAACAGGTGGACATGTGTCTGAAGAAGAACAATCCATATCCCAAGTGCCAAGGCTTCCGTTTTCTTGTGAAGATCCATACCAGCCATACCCCTATCCGCTCAAAAGGATCAGAACTACTTGCCACCATCTACCCCTATATAAGAAGTCCAAAGACTATACCTCCCTGGAAGTATTCGGAACTTCCCAGAAATCAGGTTCCCAGATCAGCTCGTCAGACAGGTCGGAGCTGACCGTTCTGGGGTCGACTCGACTTCAGTCTCAGGCTATCGATTCCCGGGGCCACAACGGGGCACGACGACCAATGCCGAGACACCACCAGAGCGTTACAAGAACTCCCAGCAGCACTACGCGCAGCAACCATCGGAGCATCGGAGCTTCTCCGGACCCTCCAGGGTGGGGCAGTCACGGTCACTCCAAGCAAGCCCCCACGTCCCCAACACCCATGTGGGATGTCCAGCTATAAATTGTCTGTTGATTTAAAGAATGAAACAAACATATGAAGATACATGAAGAGATTGTTCAATCTGAGGGGGGTTATATTCACCAGTCTGTACATATCAAGGGCAGGTGCACAAGCAAGAAAGATTGCATGTCGTGTCGATGGTGATGTATGTATACAGTATAATATACTTCGAGTGTCCAAAAATATCACACGTCCCAAACGACCTTCCAAATGCTGTCCATCTTTGAACGGTAGTCCATCAGTTCAGGACCCGAAATGGATCCAACGGCTTCAAGGCAAGCACAAATAGACAAAAGACTCCCGAACAACTTCACATTGCCGAACGTACTGGTGCAGATGCTTTATTTTTCCTGACAACTTAAGGGGGCATCCTTCTCTTCTGTTCAACAAGGCCAGCACGCCTCCAATCTTGCATGCAGGGTTGAGAGGGCATGGCTGGAGTGTCATGCATGCTTATACATGCATACATGGACAGGACATGCCAAAATCAACCTGGCCCCCAGGCCTCCATGCCAAGTCTTACTCCAGCCACGTGCACGCGAAAACGGCCATGGGCCAACACAGCACAGCCATTGGTGGTGAAGGGGTCTAAAGCGATTTTTGGAGTGGTTCTGCAGGTGTGGAGTGTTGGCTGTCTCCGGGGGCAATGGCAACAAGGTGCAACTTTTCCTGTCAGCTAACATAAGAATGAATCATGTTGATGTAGAAATTTTCGGTCCGGAGCTGTTGTTTGTTCCTGCTGTTCCAAAGGTTGGCACTTCTGTCCGCTTCTCATGGTCAATGTCAAGGGGTGTGTGATTTTGTTCAGTTGGAGCGCACGTCAGACCCTCTCAGGGGATGCAGCGCTCAAGGCCTTCGCTAGGCTGCGAATGGCTGCGAGTGGATAGGCCAGATGTTTCCCGGTGGTGTCCGACCAAAGCCAGCGACTGAAGGATTCCGGAGTATTGGAGACCGTTTTTACAAACGAGGAACGAAACACACCTAACACGAATGGCTACAGCAACCAGCAGGTCAAAGTATAAAGTCTGCCAAAAGCTGTCCATCCAAAACTGACAGCAACTTGCACACATCCTGTCTTTGACAAGCTGCAGCCCATGTGCAGCCATACCCCAAGCTCTTGCGCGGCTTTTTGCGTTCCATGCCTCGATCTCTTCACACGCTCACCTCGTATACGTGAAATGTGGAATTCTCTTCGCATCTTCTTAGAACGCGACACCTCAGGGTGGTTCCGGGTTGCTTCCCTTCTGGAGCAAATTAGCACCACATCAAACATTGCAAACATTAAAAACATCAGCTTCTCAGCTTCTCCTCTTTCCAACAATCCCAAAAAATAGCCTCCAACCGCTGTTCATCGCTGTTCTTCCTCCTCCCGGCCGCTCCCGGGTTCGGCCGCTGGTCGCGCCGCAGCCGTCTCTCCGCTTGACGGACGAAACGGCGCCGTGGCACGTCAACGGGCGCCGTGGACGGACCGACATGGTCGACTCGTCGGGGTGAGTCCAAGTAGCCATGACCCATTCCCAAAGATGAGGATAATAGGAGAAAGGTGTATTTTTCGGGCACATGGTGGAAAGCGCATGAGACAACAAACACGTGTTTGGAGTAGCCAATACAGGGCGTTGGAGTCAAGGTCTGCATGATCTATTCCGCGCTATAGAACAAGAACACCCTCGGTACTCTGACATCGTGCAACAAAAACACGCATCAGCTTCAGTCTGGACTGGTCAGTGGGAATTGGTCAGGTATGGTCACTGTCTTGATGTCAACGGTGTGATTCACTCCTTGTACATACCCAACCCCATTACCTTTTGGGGGACTTGCCGCTCATTCTATAGAAAGGTTGACCCCCCCCATTTCATAGAGGAAATGGGGTCAGGTATCCTCATGCTGTACATGTTTCTCACTCTCAGGTATCGAGGGCCCCTTTCTTCCTATCGGAGGAGTGCCTTCCTTTGGACGTCCGTAACATTCAACTCAAACTCCTCATTGACATGACATCACAAACTCATTTCAAGTTTGTCCAATCCTCAACATATATTGTATAAATACTCAATCTAAGCAATTCCAAAGACTCATTCCAAGTTTTTTGGACTGTTCAAAGAAGCCGCCCATGTCCGCCCGCGATCGGTCTGAAGACCATGTGTATTTGAGCAGCTCTCAGGCACCAGCCTGTATGTGGATGGCTTAAGGAGTGGATGGAACATCTTCAAGGCAGGTACCTCAAACCTGTCATGTAGACGCCTGACAACTCAAAAATGTTCACGCATTCTGCCCTGAAGCCCTAAACAGCTGCAATCAAGACCGTCAACCAGACCGTCAACCAGACCACACCTCCCAAGAGATGGGTTCAAATCATCCAAAAAGTCCATCCGAAGTCACAGGAAGTCACTGCCCTTCACTGCTCTCCCTCGACGTCTGTCCGGCGTCCGGCATCACCGGCGCCCCGGTGCCGCCTCGGGACCCGAGAAGCTGGGTGCCTGAGACACGCGGAAGCGGAAGGGGAAGAAGCGAGAACTCATGGGAACTGTATCTCATGGACTTAATTTTTGTACTCTTATGGAGGTGGACTACTTTAAGAGGGGCTTATAGCGCTTATAGTTGATCTCATCTTAGATCTTGGATCAAGATGGGTTCATTGGACTTCTTGCACTCATTTCATGGGTTCCTGGCTTTTCTTGTGGGGGACTCATTGGCTACGAATGCGCTCTCAGCCTGAATTGCGGAAAGGTCGGCCTGACCGATCATAAAAGGTTAGTATGAACTCCCTGCAATCATGACGTGGAGTGGGGGAGTTCACCACCTCTTTGGTTGATTTCATGGTCATTTTCGGGTGGCCATGATGCGGGCATGCCATCCCATCCACGTTGGCCCATGATTTCAGGGAGTCTAGACTCCAGCGGTTGTCTCAAAATCAGAGCCTTCCTCAAAGTGACCGAACTTGAACCCCTGGTTTTGAGGTCACCAACAGGCTTGGAACAGGTCGCTGGCAGGGACTCCTAAAAGGTCACGAAACTGGTTCGCAGCTGGTTGAGTCATTAGTGACTGATGGTTGGTGTAATCAAAGAGATGACAGTTGGCGTAATCAAACAAGTGGGACATGAGATCTGATCTCGGCAAAATTCACCAAATCAGTATAGTGTGAGGCCGGGCATTTCCTCGGCCCTGAAAGGATCGTTTGGAACTGCAAACCCTTCGGCTTTTGAGGTCTGGTACACTCCCTGGAGTCATCATGGGCCAACGCGGATGGCATGGCCATGCATGGCCCCAGAAGACTCGGATGACCATGAAATCTTCAGTTCAATACCAAACAACTGGCACTATAGTAGATTTCTTGTTGCTAGTAGTCATGCCGTTGATACTAGAAGCGATGCCCTTGTTACTAGTTGTTCACTCCACGTCCACGATTAGGGAGTGTAGTTCCTCCTCGTGCACACGACCAATAATTAGTGCCCAAGTGACAGTGGCGTCCGCCTCCGTGGCGGGAGCCTGCGGCGTCTGAGACACCGGCTCAACCCACCAGTATAACGAGCAGGCAGGTGGTTGAAACGGACGAACCATGGTTGCACAAACTCAAACATCCACTCTCAACAAAGCCATCAAACAATTGCCTTACTTCGAGTGCCCCTCACCCTGACACTTCACTCTGGCAAGTTTTTTGCATGTATTGACACAAAATTTCGGCATAGTTGGCATTTTATCTGGCATATCTTCTGACTCGCGGTTGAGGTCCGGCGGGGAACACTACCAGCTGAAGGTTAAGGTCCGGCGAGGAACACTGCCATCCGGAGTTGGCGGTTGAGGTCCGGCGGGGAACACTGCCATCCGGAGCTGGTGGTTGAGGTCCGGCGGGGAACACTGCCATCCTACACTTGCGGTTGAGGAGGGCGAGGAGGAGAGGAGCAGGAGGAGCAGGAGGAGGAGGAGGAGAAGCACGGCAGCTGACATAAAATCGAACAACTCTCACCTGACAGGTGGGGAACATCAGGATCAGTTTATCCGATCGCTCAATTAGTAAATTCATGTAGAACAAACTTTTTTTCCGATAAAATCACCTAATTACCTACCAAAAACGGTCAAGCCCTCTCAAGTCCACTGTGAAGCTGGAAGCAACAACATGTTGTAGACCGTTTGATGGTCGAATCCCACAAATATAGATGCGATGGTCTATGGGTAACAGTGGATGATGATGGTTAGTAAAGTTAAAGGCTTTTCTCTAAACCAGTGATACATGTTTCGGACTGTTACATGTTTTCTGGGATACTATCACCGCAAATGATAGATGTCATACCAGGAGCCGGCTATTTGGGGGTGTCTACAAAATTATGGTTTCTTTGCACCTCTATATTACCCAGGCACTCCAGGTATGCCATGTTTGCTGATCAGTTGGGGTGGTTTTGGGGTCAATTCATCGGCTTATATGGCAGTCCCATGGAGTGTTTGGGTAAGGTGATTGGATGTGTCCATCAACCACCCCACTTCGTGCGCCCCAGTACTTTGGGTTCAGGAAACCGTTGCATTTCATTTAGTTGGTGAAGATCCCAATGGCCGGCTCTGTCCCTGACACGTCTGTCCAATTCACGAAAATCAATCTCAAACACCTTTGCTTCCGAAAGGCATTTTACATAGATCATCCCAAGTTTCCTTTCATCCAGAAAAAAACCATCCATCAGCTGCCAGCTTAACTAATAAGCATCCATAGCATGGGCCATCATGGGCCCCTCAGAAAGTTGTTGACTCCACCAGCCATGCCGAAGCTCTTGCGCCTCCGCCGCTGGTGTGGGCGCACTTTCCGTAGCAGCAGGGGCAGCGGCACCGTCGCGCAGCGGTGCTTGTTGCTCCTGGTCCATGATTTCATGTGGCTGCGATGGTGCCGATGAAAAGTTGGAGCTGAAATGGATCGCTTGCATCCAAGCGAAATGAAGATTTATGCTTTTCAACAACAACCGATTGCCCAATGACAGGGTTATTATAGAATTAAAGCAATTTGGGAAGTCTTCAGAAATTAATGGAAGCATATAAAAAGAACCGTTGCCGGTCGAAAGAAAACATCAAACACTCATCCTCAAGCCTAAGGAGTTGATGTTTTCCTTTACCAAAAAAAATATTCCAATCGCGTTGATGACGAACTGATAGCCTACCTTCCACTCCGGCTACACACAACATGTCCATGTACGGCCACGCTAAACATAAGTAGCTCATGATGTTCCAACAAAAACATTAAAGAACTCAATTTAAGTCTCAAATGTAGTACTGTATAACCGCAGCTCAGCACTTCTGCAAAAAACATTTCTATACCAAAAGAACCCTTCAGACAAAAACCCTCGTTCGAAACCAAAACTAAGCAGGCAACCGAAAACGCACCGCACGGGTCGCTCCGCAGGGCCAGCCCGTCGCCGCTGGTAGGCCATGTAGGCGGCGGAACCGATGGCCACCAGCATCAACTTAGACGGAAGGCGTCGGAGACGTCAGTGGGTACCAATTCCTTTTGGATTTTCTATAGGCACTATATATCCAGAGCCACAGAACATATAATTCATGAGCCTTGCACCTAATTCTAAGACTTCAAAACAAGGTTCGTCTACTAATTGGGTTTCTTTTTACGTGGTTATGAATACCCAAAACCTGGGGTGTGACATCCCTGGATCTGACCAAAGCATGTGAGCGACGCCTAGTCGACATCATGTATCGGCGTATGTCAAACACCTAGTCGACATGTTATATACACATCATAAAACGGGATGACATGTAAATGGCCTTTGACATATAACGGATGTAACATGTTATATACATATTGTTGCTGTGAGATTTGAGGGTGTATGATTTTTTTCTTAGCGAGGCCTCCCGGTTCGATCCCCCGTTCGGTGCGGGAAATGGACCGCCCGATTGAAATACGCACTCATTCGTAGCGAGTTCCTCTTCGCTCCATGGGCACTCCATGGAGACCCTGCAGCCCCTGCTGTGTGCCTTTGTGCCTTTGTGCCGTTTGGGAAGCAGTTGGTCATCGTTCTTTTGGCTCCCACTGGCCGCATGTCAAGAATGAACATGTAAAATATTCCAAACCATGAAGTACGTCCGCATAGACCCACAAATCAGTAGGTGTGGGTAGTTAGACTCTAAGCAATATATATGCTAATGGATCAGGAGAGCCTTCTTGACCATTGTTCTGCTTATTTCTGGCCCAAAACGAGCGCGCAAGAGATCCACAAAGAGGATCATGACGGTCATCGCCTCTCCACTACGTACGTCTGGGTACCATTTTCAGTTGGAACGTCTATCGCTTGTGGTGCATGTGATGGAACATCCTTGACTCTGATGATCTTGGGTTTTTTAATATGTTTTTATCTAGAGTCAAAGTCTTGGAGGCCTTGACCAATCTGGAAAAGTGATGAACCCCCCAACATATTGAGACTATAACGTTAATATATAGTGGGAGAAAATTATATTATATATATATATGATTCACGTCTTTCTTGGTGGGAGAGGGCTTCTCCCAGTGGAGGGCCCCTTGAAAAAAGGAAAAAAGGCACATCGTCCAGCCCCCAGATTCGTCCAGCTCCAGTTTCTCCAGCTGAGACACCACCGTACCAAGGAAGATGGTGAGGCCCACCAGAACTTTGCCTCCAATGTGCAGAATCGGCAGAATGGTACACACACCGATGTGATGGCGGTCAGTGCAGCATCAGTTAGTAAGTGGTGGTTCTTCCTTATGGAACTCCTGCCGCAGATGGTGTGGGCAGTGTTCTTCGTTATGGTGTGGGCAAAACCCTACTTGAAAATAATTGGACTTTAAGATACTTTAACCCTTTGATAAACCCTTTAAGCTGTAAAAAATAAAAGGCTGCAAAAGACAAGGGCTGGGGGGCTCGAGCCCCTCTCATGTCTAATTCTCGCTGGGAAAACATATGTTTTGTTCAACCTATTGGTCTCGAAACGTTGTTCACACTTGAGCGCTCCAAGTGAGAGGTACTTCGACATCCAAATCGTCCTGAGGTCGCTCCCCAAATCGTCACGCCCGACTGAGGAACCGAAAGAAACGCATGGCCTGGAAATCATGTCAAATGGCCTGACAAAGTGGTCTATTTCAACAGCCTTCAATGCAAGAATCTCGAAGAATAGCAACCAAACTTGGAAGCCAAAGGGCCCACACCTTTCTCCACCACAGAACTCTTCCGCCGAGTGATAGCCAAACCCTTCAGCTCAGTTGAATATGCCACATGTCAGTCAAAAAATCTGTGTTTACCATTCTTTAAGACATTCTAAAACTAAGGATGGACAACTAGATGTGATTCCAATCATCCATCCATCCATCCATCCATCCATCCATCATATGAGATCGGGCCACCAACTCCAACCGCCTCCGCTCTTGGCCGGGCTTTCCACCTGCGCTCTGCCCAGCTTGGCACGGGTCATGCGGCACACGAGAGGGAACCGCGGTCCAGTGAGGAACACATGGAACATGACCACGCAATGGCTCCGAGAAGTCCCAAGTCTTTGAGCTGAAGGAAGCCATCCGGTCACAGCCGAGGTCGGGAAACATCCTTTGAAAGGTGGTCTCCTGGCATGTCATACTGTGTTGGGAATGTGCCCTGCGTGTTGAGGACCACCAGACTGATTGGATGGGGTGTGGATGGGTGTGGTGTATGGTGTGCTCAGAAACGGATGCAGGACTTCAACTCAAATTCTTGCATGGTGTTTGGGGTTCCGTAGACTCTCCTTTAACAAGTCAAGCCTCAAGAGGTGCATTGACCTTGCAAGTCCATCAAACATCATCAGACTTCATCGTACTTCCACCAATCTGTCGGGAAATTGCACCCAAAGGCTGTCAAATCGTACGATTTGCGCGTTGTACGGAGCTCTGCTTTGCTCCATTTGTGTGTCTTCGTGGTCAAGGACGGAAACCAAGAGACCGCGCGTTCAACCTCTAACGCAAGCTGCCTAATTAGTGCAAAAATTGAGTATTGGACTGCAACATCGGTCCAACATAGTGACATAGCGGATCTTTAGACTTGCAAGTATTAACTTATTGACCCTAGGCCTGGGCCTCCAGTCGTACCGAACCTGACGTTCGGTGGGACTGGGGTGGGTGCCAGCCAGTCGGGTCCAGTCATACCGAACCTGAGGAGTATTAGTCTCGTCTCCTCCAAATTCCCCTCTCGTCCACCCATCACCGTTGACCTCGCACCCCGCTCCGCCCACTTGCTCCGGCCACCTCCTCGTCCTCGTCGTGGTCCTGGACGTCTGATCCAACAAAATCCATGGGACTGGATTACTTGCATACCAGGATCATCTTGTCTGGGTGTCCTGGCTGTAGGTCCAGTCTAGCAGTGTAGGGTAGTCTATTGGACACCCAAACAGGATGACCCAGGCACATGAATGGGAGGCTGTGTTTGATTGTATATGTTGTCATCTTCTTTTTCAACTGGAAGTCCTTTTGTGTGTTAAGGTGTTTTTAATGGGGTCAATCTAGGTTTTCTTCTTCCAGATTCTTGGGGCATGAAGAATGCAAGGCCATGAGGAAGTCCCGAAACAGTGACCGACGTCGGCCACTGTTGGCTCAGCCCTTTGAACAGGCGCTTCCATGAGGCGCGCTCTTGTCAGCTGCATGGGCGCGACCATTCTTGTGCCAAACTTCCAATCTCGTTTCCAACCGGACATCCACGCGATGAAAACACCGGCCTTTCAAGAACACATGCATGATTCCATCATGTTTTGTCTTTGAGAACCTCTGTCAGTTGAGGCCTGTTGAAACAGACTTTCGCACTGCGGTTCAGGGAGATTTCTGCTGGTCTCCCAAGTTTTTCATGCACCTGACCTAGCCCGAACGATGCATGGTGGCGTAATCATGACCTAGATTCACCACCAAAGACCCACCTAGGCGATAGAACTGTGCTACGATGGATCATCTGGGTATGGCTTCCAAAGGTCTCCCGTTTGCTGCCGCCATTGCCGAGCACAAAGCCACCCAACAATTTCGGTGCTCTGTCACGAAATACTCCATGCGGGACAGTACCTCAGAAAATGGGTCAAGTACCTGTCTTTATGGGATAATGTTCCTTTTTCTAAGGTATTCTAAGAAGGTACTTGGAGGGTTATGTATTTACCACCACCTCCAACAACTATACATGACAAAACACTGGGCAGCTGTGTTTCATGCGGTCCAAGCCCAGTGTAGGGCCCAGCCAAACCCCTTGAAAACGGAGGTATCTGATGGCTAAACACCAGGACATCTCACCGTAGTGGCGAACCGCTGCTCTTGGCCGCGGCAGTCCTCTCCACCATGCTTCTCCGCATCACCTGTGGCCAGCAGGCGGGGAACTTCCGGAAACTGCATCTGTTGGTGCCCTGCTTTGGAGTAAACTTAACCATCCGAACTAATAATGGAATGGGGTAAAACCACCTTGTTCGTTTGTTTGTTTTGCCCATGGGGGGGCTGTTGGGAGTTGTGCCTTGGACATTGTTTTGATTGTTGCCAGGTCTCAACATCTCGAAAAATACCTCTGAGACTGTGTTCCAGAAGATCCCTGGCACCTGGGCCTACAGGAAGGATGGCCCTGGCTACACACCCTGGTTGATCTAGGGCTCTTGCCAGTGGCGGATTTGCCTTGGTCTCGTGCCCAGAAACCAAATACCATCACACAAACACCATATATGCACACCCAGATTGACCCCTGAAACCAGCCGGATGTAAGTAAATATGCATGGAGTGTCTGCATGGGTCATATATCACAATATCATGACATCGACACGTGTTTGTGTTATTTTTCCCTGTGGGTGCACACCCGCAGCATGCATCGTGCCCAAAAAAACACCACCACCACCACCACCACCACCACCACCACCGGTAGACCGAAGGCTTCTGTCCGCTACGGCCCACTTTTGTTGCTTCAATTCTCGCGGAGGTCGTCCAACCAGCTCCTCGGCGCAATGTCCGCCACACGCAACTGGCACGGCAACACTGGAGAGAAACCTGGAGAGAAGAGACTCTCTCACCAGCAGTCACATAGGGGTCCCCATGATCCACTCACCTAGAGACTAAAAAAACACCTCCTTTATGACTCCTGGCAGTTCCTTGGTTCTTTCATGACTTCAGACTTCTAAGTTCTTTTCAACAGGTCAGGTGGTGGTGGTCACTGACCACAAACAGCTTGAACGTCTGTAGCATTCTGTAGGGCTATGTGTGTTGTTTCTTCTCGCTGTACCACTGGTTTTTACGAAGGGCTTGCACATACTTGCACGGCATGTCTATCTCTTAGCGTCCAAAGATCGGATGGTTTGGGTCATCCGATCGGTGGGTATCTCACGGCAAAGCAAACCAGTTGTGTGGGATTTGTGTGAGGTATGAGGTTGAACACATCGATTTGACCCTGGATGTCGGCGAGGAGAATACCTGACCACCACTGCGCGACGGTGCTCCTTCTGCTTTTGACCAACGAGAGAACTGGCGCCAAGACACTCATTGGGATCCCATGCGATCACGTGAAGCCAACCTCGGTCGATCACGTGGAGCGGCTTGGATCGTTTCGGGGGAGAAACCTCCGGTGAAGTGACCCTAAGGATCCAGTCGTACATTCTCAGAGGTACTTGGACCCTCTAAAGCTACGTAACAGTGTTGAACACATCACCTGAGAAGGTACGACTGGATCCCTAGGAAAGAGTTTATATATAAGCGGTCTTTCCCACCCCAACGTAGGTATATATGCCATACATTGAATGTCTGCCCTAGAAGTCCAAGACTATATTTTGACCGACTGATGCAAAGGAAGTTCCTTTTGGGGTCCCCTAAAGACCATTCTTTTGATAGTATTTGTCTTTTAGGGTCTGGGAACATTGTTTGAGTTCCCTCGTCCCGCCTTTTCATGCAGGAAAAATAACAAACACCACTACCACCGGTATGATCATGTCACCTCAATGAAGTGGGGACTCCACCTGCGGAGGTTTGCGTCTGCAATGTCTGGAGCTCAGAACAGGATCTGCAGCGAAGAAACAAACACACTGCTCTGCACAGTTACACTGCTCTGCACCCGTTTTCCTCAGTGTTGTTCCCTTTTTCTTCGGATGGTTTTTCGGCACCGGGTGCTGTTTTGGCGTGCTGGCCCGAGAAGGATGGAGGGATTCGTTCCAAGGAAAATTCAGGATGTGAAACTCTGGCTTATATACCCTGGGGCTCCAACCACCTCCTGAGAAGATGGTTGGGGTGGATTTGGGAGGTCTGACTACCTTCTGAGGATATGGTTGGAGCGCTAGGGATAATTGGACATGGACATGTTGAAGTTGAGTGGCTCGGACCATGATGACGATGGCTCCCGTATACTTTCAGAGGAACAACTTGTCTTTGGACCTGTGACAGTCGGGATGGAGTTTGATTTCCAAGTAGCTCAGCAGGAAGCACTCAATGCAAAGCAGGGAGGCATAGAATAGGTCCTGTCAACAAGACCCAGCCAACAATGGAATAATAGCTAAGCAGCTAATTTGACTTTGTGGTAATGTAACGTACCAAACATTGGGGAAGGGGGGAACACTTGAACCCATATTTTTCAAAAAAACAGGTCACTTGTTGAGTCTATAGGGTTTTCTGGACGGAGGGAGCTAATCATACTCAACCAAAACGAATCCTTGGTCTTCCTTCACCATCCGGCCTAGATGTTCGAATCTATGCACGTCTGTGCAAACACTTTGATCTAAGCCCCCCAACTTCACCCCACACACGACACCGCTCTCCTTCTCAGTGATGGAGAGGCTGGTGGACAAGGGAGGCACTTCCAACAGCAAGGTCTGAATAAAACCTCACCCCCATGCTGTGCAAACGCGCCGCGCGGGAACCCCTGCGGTGACGGCGCGTGAGTCTTGGGCGCGCGCGCCTCCACCGCAAAAACGAACGGAACGCGCGACAGCGGAAGCCCACCCTGCGCGGTTTGCTCGGCGCGGTGCGCGCTCGGTGTCGAGGGTCCGATGGAGAGGAGGATCTTCGTGGACCAGAACTTCGCCGAGGGCCGAAAGGTCTCCCTGGGCAGTTGCGCGCGGGCCATTGGTCGGTTCGGACCCCTTCTGCAGGGGTCGAAGAATGGTGCGTTCTGCAGACCCAAAGGATCCGTGGCGTAAATATGACCCCAAAAAGGTCAATTCATTCACCAAAGCACAAACTGTCGGCCATATTTGCATGCAACATGAAGTGTCAGGGAGGAAGGGAGAGAGAGAGAGAGACACCTCCAGCTTCCAGTTTGGATCATTTCATGCACGCAAAAGTCCAAAGGAGTGGGATTTGAGTCCCATCCATTGAGTGGATGTTTTTTTGGGCACCCCTACTCTGCCATCAATGGAACTGCTGGTATTTTACCTGTGTAAACAAACCTGCGTAGGGTCCGGCATCTCGTGATGCCATTTCGAGGTCCTTAAAATCATTAAAACAAATAGTACAACCGCAGCCACAGGACATCATTATAATCGTTGTGAAAATACAAACACATGGCAACCTACTAGCAATGGCCTCCAACCTCCTCCAATCTAATAGGAATGGCCTCCAAGCTACTAGCGATACTCAAATGCCCAGGAGATGACAAACACAAAGTCTTGAGACCCTCACGTGGGAGAAAGCTGCAGCTCTCCGCCATCGCGCCGGTGCCCCGTAGCGTCACAGGGGTAGAAGACGAAAAACATTCCTCCGAAGTTCTCCTAAAAATATGGGTCTGTATTGAAAATTAGGAAGACCTGCCAGGCAAAGACCTGGAAGCTTCGAGAAATAGACCAGTCTACCCAGCCAGGGCTTCCTATTCAAATACACACCCGTCTGTCAATTGGGTGGACCTCTTCTTACTCCAGCAGCGGCCTTCAAAAGCCAAGGCCAGTGATCGAACACCGTTTTTCAGCCAGCATGTCGGGCCACCAAGTGGTCCGGAAAATATGGAAAACCACCAAAATGAACGTGGGTGTATATCCGGAGACAACATGTATTGCATAATAGTTACATACATTGATCATTGACCCCTTTTCAACCACCCCAATGTAGGTCCGCCATAAATGAAGTGTCTGGGTATACCTTCTGTCTCAAGCACGTTCATGGTATTTCCATCTGCTTCCATTATCTGGATTTCCATGGTCTCTTTAACACCCTCGAGAAGAACGCACCGCCCACCCCGGAACGCCAAATAGCACGCGTTCCGGAGGACTCTCTCTGCTGCTTCGCGTCAGTTGCTTCTCGAAGGTCATCTCCACGGTGACCACGTTGCCGATGGCCGCGGAGGAGGCGATCGCGCCCATGCCCAGGAAGAAGTAGTGAACGCCTGAGGGATGACATGTCATGTCTCATGACTCACTGGGTTCATGGCTCATGGCACCCGGGGATGTGGGGGCCCACCATGAACAGAATAGACTACAAGACTCATGGAGATCAACTGAATCAACCTGGATTTGGGACCTCTCTGAGTTTTGATTTCACAGCCATTGAACCCCGAACTGCTAGGGTGTATGGCGACTCCCTCCGGTCCTTCGTCCCAGTTCGGAAGTTCGAAGCGGATCGAACCTGGGCATCTGTCTGTTCCTCGCCCGTTTTTCCACGAGAGAGGGTAGATCAGGGTAACCCAGTAGATTGTGGCCGTCCATGGGACTGGCATCTTTGCATACATTGACCCCGGGTCAGTCCGGATGGTACGGGCCAGGGTCGAGCCCCTGGTTCTGCCCCTGGTTCTGCTGCCTGGAACTCGCTGGGATTCTGTAAGGTAACCGGGTAGGTAGGGTATACGGATGTCATGTGTATCACAGAGAGGAGTGGACCTGTAACTTGGGGTAGTTAGATGTAGAGAAGTACATGTCATGTGGCTGTGTGGAATACTGAGCCGCTGAGCCTCAGGGATTTTGCCAGCCATCACATTGGTATGGAACATTCTGAAACCCAAAGAGCCGATGGATTGCACCACAACCACATTGCACCAAAGATCGCCATATTAATATATATATATATACATGCACATGACCTTCCATATTCACCCTGGAGTTGTGAATAGAATGGTCCAGGCAATTGGATGGGAAGCAAAGATCCCTTCCAGTGGACAGAATGGTGTATACCACTGATTGAGAAGGTCAAACTGGGCGACAAAAAATCAGTCAACTTTCCTCTCATTTGTTCGACCGGCATAGTCTTCTTCACAGTATAGTGGTTACCAACAAGAAACATATATACATTGCTTCCCACCAGTAATACAAGGAAACATGTAGTCCATGTTTTACAGAATGTCTATTCAGTTTCAAAAATATGTAATATGACATATGTATGTACAATGCAACTAGACAGCTCAGGGGAAAAAAAGACAACAGACATGTTTTCCTGTATTATATAGATAGATCATAGGTCTTCCCGTTTCATGCATTGGCATGCCAATCGCCCAAAGCGGCGAGTCCGGCTGCGATACACTCGCTCGTTGAACTTCAAGGTCCGATCGCCGCCCAGGTATGCCTCGATCACATTGACTCATTGGGCAACATATTCAGATAATGGTTATCAACATACCAGGCCCTTCCAAGTCCGGTGGTTTTTGTGCACCCCTTGACCTCTAAGAGGCTGCCTATAGACACCTCTTGGAAGGTCCTGGTATTCATCAACTATTATGCAATATTGTTAATGAGTCAATGAATGGCACAATGTTGGTCAATCTTGTGCCTCATGTGTTGACATTCAGTGGGCGCAATATTAAACATCACAATCGAATGTGAGTTAATGAGCAATGAGGAATGGTTGCAATATTGTTGGGGAGTCCATTCTGTCTTCAATAAACAATCTATCGTCAAAGGAACTTAATTATTAGGCATGGTGATGGGAGTATCCCCCCCTGTACAGCTTTAAAAAATAACATTGGCCGACCCAAACCATAGATTGTGTCCTTCTGTGGTCATTGCAGCATAAGCACATAATAGCAAATATATGTCTCGTGGCACTCGTGGGCATAAAAAAACTTTTGGCCAGTTCCCCGCATTCGGCTGATGTACCTGTGGCTCTGCAAAGGAAAAACATATGGTGCTCAAATCAAACTGAGACCTTACAATGTCCCAAACACTCCAGGGGACTGTCATATATATGCAGTCCTATGGCAGTCCTATGTGTCGTGTCTGGGATGTGTCCTGTCTGTTCCTCGCAATGTTTAAAGAACCGTGTGCCTGTTCAAGCAAATTCCCCAAAAAGAACACAGACTTTCTTTGCACCTTACGACATCGAAGTCACTTTCCTCGATTGAAGGTGGAACCTTTTTTGGGGGGGTTGGTGGCTTGTCGAATGGCTATAGCGCATCCATAGACCCCGAACATCCCCCGAGATAGTGCCTGAAACGTGGAGTCCCCACGGTCCGCCCTGCGCGGGCCGACAACCCCTGGAGCCTTAGGGCGCTATCTCTCTTTGGGGATCGACATTATCATAACTACCCTTTCAGATGCTACGGGGAGATACATGGAAGGCAGCACTGGTAGATGGTGCGACCAACTATATACTGCTACTCTACTGGTGTAATAGTGCTAGTGGTAGTGGTAGTAGTAGTGGTAGTAGTCGTAGTAGTAGTAGTAGTAGTAGTAGTAGTAGTAGTAGTAGTAGTAGTAATGATAGTAGTAATAGTAATTGCACCTAATAACATAGTTATATAATAGAGCCGTACGTAGTGGTAGTGGCAGTAGTAGCATCATTGGTAGCAGTATATAGTAGTAACAGTAACAGCGGTAGAAAGCACGACACCTATAGCAACGATAGTAACCAAGTCGCAGTTCGAGCTGATTCCTTCGTGTTTCCCGGCTGAACCCCATGGGGTGGAACGCGTCCTACCGATCGTTGCCTCGACGGAAGTGGTGAAGAGGCTGTAGGCCGCTTCCAGAAAACAGGTGCCGTTGAAGAGATAAATGCCTCGGGAGGTGACTTGTCCAGGACAGTACTAAGACCATGTTCACATACGATGCCATACGGTATACGATGAGCTTACTTTGTTATGGGGAAGAGCTTGAACATACAGCTTCTTCAAACATCTTCAGACCCTTTTCGACCACATGCTTTGATTCCATGTGTGTCTGTGGAGCCCGATGAATATTCTTGTATATTCTTGTTCTTTCTTCATCGCGCAAACAAAACATTGATTGGGAATTGAATTGAACACAATTGGGAATGAACATCACTTGGCAATGTTCCATCGTCATCTCGCACACCGGGCACGCGCCTTGCTTGGTCAAAGCATCGACACTTTCAGTCAGCTTCTCCTGGAACAAAAAAGATCAAATCGACTCAGTGCAACGGAGGGAGACTACAAAGACCGATGCTGGACAAGTGCTCTTGGATTCACTGAGAGGTCTGTCCACTCTTGGCTTCAAAGTTGATCTTTGACCAGCATCCAAATCAAATGATACGAAACCTTAGATTGAACAAACCGCAATTAACCTCACCTCCTCCAATGGATTGAACCTGACTCACCGCTCTCCTGCAGGCTCATCACCGTCTGACTCGCGCGTGCGGCCGGCTGCGGTACACTTGCTCGGCTGGGCTTGGTGCTGCGAGAGGCGATGATCTGCAGGGCTAAGTTGGCGAAGTGGAGCAAGGCCCAGGACCTCACCACCGTCTCAACCCGTGTGCGAGTCCTGTGTGCGAGTGCGAGTCCTGTGGGTGGATGCAATACACACTTAGAGCTGGTGGCTTTTTTGGGAAGTCTAAAGAAATGTCGACTGGTTCCTGCCCAGTAACACGTCTTTGAGTCCTTTGGAGTTCAAGCTAGTAAGTCCGTTGTGTGGATCCTTTCAAAAAAAATCGCTGGACATCCCGCAGAGCTCGGAAAACATCGCTAACTCTTAAGAATCTACAGCAGAACCCGACGAAACACAGGTCGGTCACCACCTGCAACTTTGAAGTCTGCAAAGCCTCCAGAGGAGACCTGTTACAAGGTGCTGGGATAGAGTATTTGATAGTCATTGGAGATATTTGGAGACGCTCTTAAGAAGTTGCTGCGTTCTTTCTTTTGAACAGAGCAACAGCCCAGCTCAGCAGGCGCCGAGGAACTCGTAGAGGTCCGTCAGCAAGAAGTTTGTCTCCTGAGCGGAACAGCAAAATTGTGGTACGAAAATGCCCAGCGGTGTGGCCAGTCATGCAAAGGCATCAAGATATGACGCGCAACCATGCGCAACCTATATAATTACGAAATAGTAGACGGCAGAAGAAACTGAAGATCTCTGAAGATATCTGAACATCTCTGAACACCAGGAAATCGTCTTAGGGTAGTCCTTCTCGCTATGAGCTTGAGCAAGGGCGTTTGCCACCTCCGTTCCTGGGATTCCTTGGACAATCCATCAACACTACACGTCGGACGGGTTGTCGGCTTTTTACCACCCAAAGGCCACCAATCCCAGAGGATCAATGGTGGCGCAGTTCAAGTCGCGCCTATACTATACCTAGAACTTTGCCAGGGTGTTCTTAGTAGGACGAGCGGACTTTTCAGCTTGGAACAAATATAGGCGGACATGATTGCCTTATGAAGATCATATACTTTACCATGGATCATCGATCGTATAGATGTCGCAAGATCATCAGTCCAACGAGGTCAATAACACTCGCACACTGTGCTGCAGAAGAAAAACCTTCGATGGACATCTTCATGATAAGCCCCAAATAAGTTCTGAATATATAGTTCTGACATGTCTTTCCAGTCCAAGTTTTGTTGAGGTGCGCATCGGTCGATTCTTACTTTGAGTCCCAATGAACATCCCCCCATCTCCATCACAACTTCAAAAAATCGAGTCTCATACATGTTCTGGCAAACCACCAAGCGCGCCACCCAGGTCCGGTTGCCCTGAAAGTCTTCCACATAGCCCAAACTTCCAACTTTGCCTCAGTTGCCCAAAACGCTCCAATGCTCAACGCTTCCGCCCCGCAATCGTGCGACATCGTGCGGAACCTGAGAGAGGAATGGAGCGCGGAGATGGAGAATGAACGAACGTTTTCTTTGGTGGATGCTAACAGGCTTACACCTTCCCGGTTTTGCTGAAAAAAAATAGACATTGAACCTTTTGAACACTTGTTTTGCCCAAAGGCCAAGGGTTGCCAGTGGCCATAACTGGTTAGGAATCATCAGAATCATAAGGATGGTGGGTCACTTGGAGCCAACTTGATGGAGTTGACCTGCAGCACCTGGAGTTGACCTTGGGCATCCCGCTCCAGCTCCACACCGGTTCCCGGTTGCTCCACAGTTCTCCACCTCGGTTCCTGGTAGAACACCAAGGCAAAACCATGTCATTTGTGTGACATCAGCAGACACGTGAAGCAAATCACATCCTGCAACCTGTTAACATGTTTTTGTTATGTGTTCCGTTGAATTGTGGCCCCTTGCTATGCCATGTCAATGCCAGTTCACCCATCAATTCTGTTCACACTTGGCTATATTGCACATGCTTCTTTCAGACCGGAACCCCAAGCCAACCCCCCCAGCTGACTTTGTCTGGTCGCTGTTGGCACAGATCATCCACATGCGCGTGACTGATCTGTATGACATCATACAGGCGATCATAGGTAGCGCGATGATCATGATGCTGCCTGGACGATGCACACGTGTGCACCGTGTATAAGAGATCTGAAAGGCGGAAGACAGGGCTGTGTCGCTGTTGCTGAATATGCAATCTCTTTCACCACTTTCGAATACCTTCAACATACATATAGGACTAATGGAGAAGAGCTCTTGTAATCCTATGAGGCAGGCAATCATGACAAACATCAAATCCTGGAACGTTTGATCAGTTTACACCGGAAAGCTCCCTCTGTGTCAAGGTCTCCATGATCTCCCTCTGCCCCCCCGGATCTCCATGGTCCCCGGCTTCTCGAAACCTTCAACCCAGTCCCACGACCGGACGCAAGACCGACGGACCGGACGCAAGACCGTCGTATTCAACCAGCCCTTTTTGTAGGTCAGTATGCCATGCCAGTCCCATGCCAGTTGCGTTTGGGCAACATATTGAACAGTTCTTGGCTGGTGGTGAAAAGGATCTTTCTTATATGTTGGCATCCCGGGCTATCACAAATCCCTGACTCAGTTGGAACAAGAGCTCCTTGGTGACTTCCACTTCAGAACAATGCGTTCAATCGAACTTGAAGACGATGCACTCATGTTGCACACGTGGAACTTTAAGTTGGCCCAGATGCTATCAATGCCAGGGTTCTGCTTGAGCAGGCCTCCCTTCCGAAGCATACGCCAAACATGTCGAAGCGTATTCCTTAGTTCATCAAACCGAGCCATTTTCCCGCCATGTTCACGGCAGCAGGAGACCTGTCACTTGGACACGTCTGACCATCCTGTCTGGATGAAAAGGAGGAGGATCCTCCGAACCGGCAAACGTCCATCGTCATGACCATCCGACCATCTGGATGTCCTGGCTGGACTACCCAGTAACTGTCGGGATCTCCAGCCAGCACACCCAGACAGGATGGTCCATGTGTGTGTGTATGTGTGTTTCAAACAATCAGTCCTTCTTTGCGGTATGATCCAAAGGTGCACAAACGTCAATGTTGAAGATTGGTGTTCTGCAACTGAGTTGAAGCTAAGCGAGGAGTGGCTTCGGGTTAGACCTTCTGCTCTTTATTGATTGGCATATGAGTCACATGATAGGAAAATTCGCAGGACATGAATAGTGAAAAGAGATGGTATTGACAAACGTTGACTTCCACATGTGCAGGCGCTCAGCCACCCTCCAGCTGTGAACTGGATATAACTGGATCGCACTTCTACCTGATGCGTTCTAGAGTTCGAATTGGATCCTTGCTCCAGGAACGCTTTCAGATCCTGGTCTGTTTGAAATGGACAATGGCTTGCAAAGGGTGCTAGGATGGAGGTGCGGGGCTTTTAGAGCTTTCTATTTTTGAGCCTTAAAGGTGGTGTACAAGTGTACAATAGTAACACGTTTGTAACTTTCATGAAGGATTCATCCTGCAGGCTCAGCTTTTGTATATATATATATACAGGCAAATCCTTGATGTAGTCTGCTTCGATAGTTTTTTACAAACCCCAACGTTGAGTCCATGCATATTGTTTCAGTTCTATTCAGTTCTCCATGTCCCAACTAGCTGTGAACCCCCCACAGTCCCGTCCCCCGCCCCTCAAGCGGCCATGCGCGGCCCAGGTACCCCAAGGAGACCAGGAAGGTGAGTGCCAAGAAGAGTGGCGACAGCAGAGTGAAGCGTCGCAAGACTTGGAACCCACCAGGGTCCACCATGTGTTTCACCTGACAGGCTGACGGTCGGCTGGGGTCAACGGGCGGACCGGTGGGGCGGTGGGTCCCAGTTGAGAGACGAGAGACGCTCTGACGAACACATCACATGGAAGTGGAAAGCCCCTTGCTGGTAGAGGACTACTTAAGGGACCATTTTCCACTTCCATGTGATGTGTTCGTCAGAGGGTAGCTGCACCAAAAGACGTACTATTTACTAGTGTCTTGCAAACGCCCAGCGCTGATTCACGTGCTGCATGTCGATGAATTAAGGCAGGTACGTTATATATAATCCAAAGAACTTTGCAGGAGATCTAGGTCTGCAAAGGCAATCGTTGACAGTAGGCCGCGGCCTAAAATGGCACTCTGACGAGATCATCTCTGAATACAGGGACGTGGCCTTTCAGCACCTTTCTTTCAACCACTACATATTTGGATGTCTTGGATCGTGCCGCTTCCCTGCATTTTTGTTGGTGCTTGGGGTGCCAGGATCCGACATAGGTGATCCGTCGACTCACCCCCGCCCGGTGTGGTGAAGTTCCACTCCCCCAGTCCCGCAAACCACTCCCGTCACCAGTGCCTCGTCTTGCCACCAGTTCGGCAAGGGTTCGGTCTCCTGCAGAAATCCTGCAGATGTCCACCAGACCACCAATCCGCGAGGGTTGCAGAGGAGAATGAACATTGATCAGATTAAACTGGATATATGGGTAAACTGGATATGGTTGCCGGGTCAAACATCCAGAGCCTCCCCCCAAAACACAACACATCCACTGTTGATTCAAGACTGTAGAGTAAGCCCTCACGTATCTCTGGAGCCCGTGCTGACCTCTTCCGCCCGTTTTTTAATGGCCCCCTAAGTCTTAAGTCCGAAAGACTCCCTCTCCGCCAACCCTCCAAGGCGATGCCAACTCTGCCCAGAACCATCGTTCTAACGACTCCCCTCAGAAACTCTGACCGGGTACGGTTTCCGAAAACGGCATTCAGTTTTCCCTACTAGCGGCTAGGCCTCCAACCTACTAGCGGCTAGGCCTACGCCTATGCCCAGCTTCTTCAACATGACCCTGAAACATGTCCCTCATCTTGTGACCTGAAAAACGGGCCTTTTCGTGACCGAAGGATCACCAGAAGAACTTCAGTTCCACGAACTCCAGGAGGAAAAGGGCTCCCCAAACGATCCATGATGGCCTTTGCACATGAGAGAAGTATACTAAGTATACACTCGGACTGGCATGTGAAAAGCTTCGGGATGGTTGGAGGGGTCGGTCCTAAATATGCCACACATGGAGCATCTGGGTAACATGAAAACAGATTGAACACCCCCAACAAAAACACCAGTCATGTGGACGATCTGTGCGCCACCATGGATCATCTAGGCATGCATCCGCCCCGGCTTTCCGCCCAGTCGGCACCAGGTCGGCCATCGTGAGTCGGTTGGAGGCTGAAACAGCCGAGACTCTGTCTTTGAGATTCTCAGGGGCCAAGTAGTGGGTGCTTTTCAACCTGAGTCGAGTTGGAGGCCAGCCCTAGAGGCGGCAGCCGACTGGCCTACTGAGCCAATGATTTGTGCTCCTTCAATTGGAACCTGTCTGGTCCAAAATCCTGTCTTTTCACGCTGAAAAGTCTGGTTCTCTCCACTTGGCCGCGGTCCGGACGTCTCCGGTCAGAAAGAGCCACGGTCCCGTGGATCTCTCAAAACCAGCGGGTCCGAGCCCCGGGGTCCTACGGGAACTTGGCCAAGACCCGTTCGAAGCCGAAGAAGACGCTACGTTCGTTCGACGCTCGATTGGGGATCCGTTTTTTCTCGTTTTTCGGGGTCGAACACGGTATTTTGAGGGTTCGATGTTTGAAAAGGGGAACACATTGCATGCATATATATATATACCCCTTAATCAAAGAACCTGGAAAAAACCACGATGGAAAAATAAATCTTGAATATGTACTAAGGAAAAGTAAAAAGACAGGATTTGTGGAAAAAACCTGACTATTTCCCAAGAGCCTTGAATTCCCAGGTCTCCAACACTTTGCTCCAAGGATCTGGATGGAAGGTGGCTCAAATCGACCGCCGGGTGCTTCTGGTGAGCTGTTGGTGGAAGAAACTTTCCCACGTGTCCAATGTGTTTTTTAGGTAACAAAATCATCAGTTCTTATCATCACTTCAATCTTCAAGAACCGAAACATTGGAGGAGCCAATGGAACGGCAATAGGTTGTTCTGGCGCTCTTCTCAAGAGTTTTCAATCGGAAGGTTTGACAACCCTGGAAGAGCACAAACACAAATTTGTACTGTCTTGCACCCATGTTGATCCTTCGCAACATGGCACACTCTGATGTGTGGCTGATGACACCTGCCAGCTGGGCTTCCCAGAGCACTTTTTTCCACTGACAGTCAGCTCAGAGTGCATTGCCATCCAAAGTCCTGCAAGAGCATGGCCAACTGAAGACTTACTGTAAGGGAAGCAACTCACGTCCAGTCTCCACACATAAAAACTATTCTCTATGCCACTGCTCTTCTTGTTTGCTTAACTTATATATTCACTGAAGGTTTTGGCTCAAGCTACTTGGTCTTACAAAGATTGTAGAGGCAATGCCCCGAAAGCCGCAGTTGACGCTGACGGGTTTGGCAAATGTGTGGGACCTTGATCCAGATGTCAGAGAATTTCTCCGGAGTGATGAACACACATTTCTACGATGTGCAGGGCCTGTTTTCAAGGCCACTGTTGCATCATGTTCAGCTCATGCTGCGCAAATCCTTCCACTCTTACAAGTGACCAAGCAGCTTGTCCTTAGAATGGTATGTGCAAGGTTCATGTTTGAACGCAACATGTTTGCGCAGTGCTTCGCAAAAGAAGACAAGAACATCCACAAACATTTTGCAAACTTATAAATGTTGTTTTTGCAAACCCCACGCCACACAACATGGCAAGCTAAGGGACAAGAAGTTGCCGGACCTGCCCTCACTGCAAGCAGAGCTCAAAACACTTTACCAGACCAACAGCTTGGTTCATGCTGAGGAGGTAATCTACAGGGAATCATGGGGACTTAAGGCAGCTCTCGGGCTAATCAAAAGAAAAGGGCGAAGATGGGAGATCACAAAAGAACTTTGACTGCAATGTGCACTTGCTATCGGGGTTTTGCTGTGGAACTGCGTTTTTTTTCTAAGAACTGTAAAGCTGACCTTTTAACTTGTCCACGCAGTTTGGAGGCATGTTCATGTGTGTGTGCGTGCTGATCTCAGGACCAACGCTTTCGTGATCTATTGCTTATTTGGTTTCCGGAAATGCAGGCAAGGTGGTGTGTGTGTGTGCTGGGCAACCGGCTGCATTTTTGATGGATGGTTCAGCCATGAGTTTTCATTGATTCCATATTTTCTGCCAAATCGCATGAACATTTGCGGTTTTGTCATCTTCATCCAACAAAGCCATATTGGCCATAGTCACAGTCTTTCCAGCGAGGGGTTGGGTGCTTTTCAGGAGTTCATGGAGCAGAATCCCATTGACACCAACTCCCCGTACTACGATGCTATGCCTACATTAATTTGTCGTGAGTTTGCCTCATTTTGTTTCATGTGCTTAGGATGCTTTGGTGCTTTATCAAGATTCTTTGTGTGAGTAGTTTAGGATGAGGAGGACGAAGAGGAGATTGCTGATGGTGACGATGGTGACGATGGTGCCACTGGTGAAGATGCAAATGACGACGGTGATGCACCAAATGGGCATGAGAACCCTGGAGAGACAGCCAGTCCCGACATGAAGACCCCTGAAGAGGAAACGGATATCGCCCCAACAATCGCAGTTGTTCCGGAAGACCAAGGCAGTGCAGGAGTTGCTGCCCCCGTTCCCGACCCACCATGTGAGCCAACAGAGGAAAGCTTGTTTGGAAGTCAGCCGGCTGAGCAGGCTGAAGGGGTGGAGGTGAAAGAGGGTTTAGTACAAGATGGACAGGGAGAAGGGGGTGGAGAGTGGTTTCCAGGTGAACCCTCGGCCTCGCAACCTGATCCGGACGGAGACAATTCAGACCAAGTTCCTGTTGATTCCGATCAAGGCTTGGCTCCAGGTGACATGCCCATGGAGCCACTTGTGATTGAAGACTCACAGCCACCAGGGGGTGAGGCTGAGACTGAGACAAAGGTGCCTGCACCGTCCACACCAGACAGTGTAGCACTTGATTGCGCGCGACCATTGCGCAAAGCGGTGCATATTCAAGAAGTGCTAGATTTGCTTGACAGCCCTGAAGTCCAACCTCCCAAATGTGCCATGACAGGCATTATGCTGTTTCAGTGGTGAATCAGTCAGTTGTGATTTTCATTATGCTGCGCTGGCGTCAAACGCTTGCCAAACATAAGTTGACATTCCACCGAGGTGGTCCTGTTGAGGGCAAGAGTATGCTTTCTGTGGATGAGAAGATTAAGATGTTGAAGCAAGAGCTCATGAGGTGGATTGCTTTACAGTGATTGCATGATATTGCCTTTGAAACCTACACATTTTGTTTCATCCATGGATCTTCCAGTGGACTGCAGGCGGGATAGCCTGCGTGCCAGTGCCCAGCTAGCTGCTCAACAAGGCCTGCGCGTCATGTCCTGGGATTGCAACTTCTTTACAACCATGCGTGTATTTTGGAAACGTCCGATGTATTGAATCTAGACTTGATCTCGCATCTCGCAGAGGCGTGATGATGGTAGATGATTCCTTACCCTTTGAGGTGACGGACACTATGGAGACACAGGTCCGGGATGTGCCCATGCCGGAGGCAGTTCCTTCAATAGTTTCTCCATTACTTCGCTTGCCCTCAGTTGCTGGTGATCCACTGCCTCAGATTGTTGAGGAAGGATCGGTACCTGCGAACATCAGTTGCTGTATTGTTGTTTTTTTATATGTGCTATGGTCCAAAATTTATGGCACCTTCCTGTGAAACTATGCAGCTGTTGCTATATTTTGGCGATGCTAAAGTACTAACGGCGACCTTTTTGTGTTTTGCTCAGGTATTGACTCGCAGAGAGCAGCTTCAGTCTAGGAAGGAGTCGAAAGAGGAGGGCGGAGGTCGAGGGCGGCCAAAAGGCAAGGGTCGAGGGCGGGGAAAAGGAAAAGGTGGAGGCCGGGGAAAAGGAAAAGGTGGAGGGAAGGGGAAGACAAAAAGCAAGAATAAGAAAGACAAGGAAGAAACCAAACCAAAAAGAAACAAGACAAAGACAGACAAGTCATTGGACGTGCCTACGGGTGAAGAGGCAGAGAGGGAGCAACCCAAGACCAGGCCAAAGGCCAAAGCAAAGGCAAAGACACAAGCAAAAGCCAAAGCAACCCCACGAGCAAAAGCAACTGCGAAAGCAAAGGCTGGAGCAAAGCGGGGCCGGACACCTGAACCTGCGCCTGCGGTTGGAGCTTCCCCAGAGAAGACCGGTGAGGAATCACGTGCTGAGCACCCCCCCAAGAAGGCCAGGAAGGTGAAGGAAGCCATGGAGGAAAGCCGAATGCCTGTGCTTGAAGAAACTGCGGACGGCGGTTCTGATGAGGTTGAGCTCAAAGCTGAGCCCAAGGGAAAGGCACGACGTGCCCCCAAAGCGTCTCCCAAGGCAGCAGCAAGCAAGCAAAAAAGCAACAGCACGGGATCTAAGCAGGTCAAGAACACCAGCAAGGAGAGAACAAACAAGACATCCAAGCCAGCCAACATCGAGGTACCTTCGCCGGAGGACAATGAGGCTCGACTCATAGAGGGCTTAGCGGACACCCTGCTCTCCACGCTCGTGCGTGAATGGAAGTCTGGCAGAGTGAATCTCCGCGGGGATGATTTTGAGAAGCGGGTGTTTTCCAGGTCTTCCTTTTCACCGTACTACACCAGGTCCAGGCCATCAGTGGGGCTCAAGACCAGGCTGCCCACTTGGAGGTCCAACAAGGAATTTGCAAACTTCAGCTTCCCAATGGCGGATGTTTTGAACATTGCCTTCGCCCATGCGTGCGCGACACACACAGCCCTGTCCCAAGTTATCCTAAATTGCAAAGGTTGCTTCCAGTGTTTTTTCATTTATTCGTCCTTAACTTTACACGCGTGCAATGGTGGTTCACAGTGTTCTATGATATGTTCACGCAGCTAAGGCCGCATGGCTGGATGACGTCAACGCCAATGATGCCCAGAATTGTTTGAACCCTGAGAAGCTAGTTGACCCTTGGACACCCGGTGTCCAAGCCTACATCCGGAATGTGAAGTTTACGGCTGAACACGCCATCAGCAAATTCCGGACTGAGAACCCTGGGATTTTTGAAGTCTAGCTAGTTGAGATTGCATAAAATCATGCGGTCTTAGAGCTAGCTTGATTTGTGTGACCTTTGCAGTTCATGTCTTGGCCGGTTCTGGGGTGGCAGGGTGCATCTTGAAAGTTAGGGGTTGGTTGGTGGGCTGTCAAATAAGTTATTGTTCCACTATTGGGCGCTTTCTTTTGGTGCTTGAATGTGGATTGTCAACATATGGCCCTGTCTAGAGTTTATGTGCTTTTCTGCTCTCAACTATAGTG